CAGCACTATGTCCGAGTATAGCTTATGTGCTTTCACTACGATATCATCAGGCAGAGGGTCACGGGAAGCCGCACCTTCCTTAGTAACGACACTCAGCCTTTCCGGTGCTCTGGCTGCTGGCGAGAGCCATCCTAGGACAGCATAATGAGATGATGCTATCGTGGCCACCCACGACCCAGGTCACGACACGTGAAACCATCAAGAGGCTGAATACCACTCCGTCGTTTCCATCTATTTGTATGATGCAAATTGCATCAGTCATTTGCGAGCCTAGAATTCTTCCTGATTTAGTGCTCTCCGGGTCTTGCGTTGGAAACCCATTCCTGTGCAGTGCTTATCGCAACTGATCCACGTGTTCGGTTCGCACTCGCATATCATCCATAAATATATCTACCGGGCTTTCCAGACCTTCTTTGGAAGAAGTTCTTCCTGGAGAATGTGTCTTTAAGACACTGTCTTATGTTACTCCTCAGAACCTTTGGAGCAATATTAATGCCAAATCGGAGGCGATACAACCACATGTACCTCGTTAACCCGTTCTCATCTTTAGTGATGAGGCTTTGATATGTTGCGCATTTAAGACTCATATGTATACACAGATACGTTTTCTTAATATCTATCAATACCCAGCCATCTATTTTATAACCACCACTTGAATGATTCACCCTCCATCGACGGAGCGTGTCGTCGACGGTAACGCGATCGTCTGAATTGGGATATGAATATACTTGATGGCTTGAAGTCGATAACTGGACGCCATGGGGTTGTAACTTTGTGTTCTTGCGCGACTCCCATGATGGGAGTCCCATCAAACTCAACGTCCCCTTCAAGTTTGTTCTTTTGACTTCTTGTATGAAGCCTTAGAGTTCCCACTGGGAACTTCCCAGATCCCGATCTCTGTTTTGCCATCTTTCTAGTTCTGAGTGGCTCTATGACGCATCTGCTTGTCGTAAGTGGAAGGACGGAATGCCCCTAGTGGTGCTCTATTATCAATCCATTTCCGCTCCACTTGCCAACACAACTCGTAAGGAGTATCGGTAATACATCGTAATCGATGATGCATCCAGTGCTAAGCACTGGCCGTGTCTGGAGTGCATAAAAACTGAAGATTCAGTAGTTCGCCCGAGTAGCTCTAGACTACTTTTATACAAAGTAGGTGCTAGAGCCTCTAGCACGGTCTGGCCCAATGGTACAACACCTTACCCACATCACCGTATGTAATGGTAGTATTTCCAAGTAAGCATGCAGTATGAGCATGATTGGAAACTAATCTACAACGCGGCGCCGCAGGTCCTTAAGGGACTGTGTGGGCATCATTGGGGGCAAAATGAGTAATTTAGGGGCGAGCGAAGTTTTTTACGGGCGCCGGAAGAAATCCACTCAGAAGGCACTCTTAGACTGCAACAGTCTACAGCAGTACCTCCAGACTGGCACTCTCTCTCCCCTATGGCTCGTATAATCTACCAGGTCAAACGTGTGTAACTTAGTTTTCACTCAAAAAAAGAGAGCACTCTTCGTAGTTGCGATATTGCGCCTGGTTGCACGTACTGTGTCTAATACACCGAATCACCCGCTTTGGTTTCGGTGAGCTAGAGACCTAAATTTGCCTTGTAATCGTCATATCATGTTTCCTCACAATTTCCATATCGTCACCAGCACATGCAGTTGACAATGTTCATATTTTGGTAATTGTATTTCTGAGGATGCTGTTCAGTCCGTTGATGAAATCGAATGGCTCCGCTCCCTCTGCGAATACGACTAAGGTGATTGCTATAGATAACGGTGGAGGTCTGCTGAAGGCGGGGTTGATTGACCCGACGCTTGAGCACGAGGCTCTTCTCTATCCCGAGACTGTTATTGCCAACGCTGTAGCAAGATCGAGGCGTGGTGGGAAAACGGCGAAACGGAAGCTCCTCATTGGAAAGGAGATAACGTCTTGTCCCGAGTAAATCCACAGAGGTTTTCATCGTGTGAAGGGCGCATTAGGTACATCATGACGAGGCCTTCTCATAAGGGGGTTGTCGTTGATTGGGAGACGCAGAAGATCATTTGGAACAGCGTATTGCACGGGCGAAGGCATCTTCCTGGGCTTCTCCCGAAGGTGAAAAAAGATTGAAAAGTTTCTTGGAATATTTTATGCGTCTCGCATGCTCACGATGTCGCATATTATTGACCTTTTCCGTGCAGCAAGTATGCACCTCAGGGCTCGGAGGTTTCTGAAGTGACGGTCATTGTCACACAGCCACTATACTGTCCGACGATGGTCACCCGTGTTGGAATGCAGGTTAGATGCGGCCGAATCGTCGTGTGTGTAGCTGTAGGTCTTAGGTTCTCTTTGAAGATTTTGGATTTGCTCGTGCAGTAATTGTTGATGCTCCCTTATGCATTCAGTCCAGTGAGGGCATCAAATCACAGTTCAGTGATGAGGAGTGGGAGAATCCCTGCGGGTTGGTTGTTGATGCGGGATTCAGCGGATGTCGGGCGGTGCCTCTGTAGCATCTCGAGGGGATCGGCTACCTATTGGATGTGTTTTCATCACTCTAGGCTACTCATGAAAAAAATATGAAGCCAATCGTGGGGAGGATTATATGTCGTTTCTACGCAGTCCCCGGTCGATGAACGTTTCACTCATCACTAATATGATCTATCATGTCAGACGTGTGTAGTTCTGTAGTTCCACGAGAAAAGCACTCAGAGAATGACGTTTGCAACACACACCTTCTATCGCATGGAATTAGGTACAATATGTATCCCATCGAACACTGCGCTCAGAGGATGGATGTCGGTGGTAGAGTCATGACCAACTACCTGAAGGAAGCTATGGCGTAATCAAGTGCATTCTGTGTCGGCAAGGATTCGTCACTGTTTAGACATAATCAAGTTGATCTCGACGATGCACCGTTACTCGTTGAGAACATCTTTGAAACAATGTGCTATTCTGCACACGATTTTGCAGAGGAAGTGGAAGCCTCTCGGGCTTGTCCTCATGAGAGAGCCCGACGTTACATCCTTCCGGACCATTCCTCAACATCAAATCATTTGGGAAAGGTTGTGGACCCTGGACAAGAGGATGATGTTACTAATAAAGATTGTGTTGATTTGAACCACGAGAGGATGGTAGTCTGTGAGGCCCTGTGGCAACCCGGTTCAATTGGGGTCCTCCAAGCCGGACTGGCCGAGATGGCGGCGAGAGCCGTGATGAAGGCTCCCGTCGCAACGAGATCGGCGATCGCCAAGAAGGTACGTTTGGCATGGCTCCGTCTGTGTTGCAATTTCAAATTGAATTCAACCTGAATGCAGTAAAAGTTACCCGATGCAGGATTCGAACCTACGACCATCTGCTCCGTAGGCAGACATTCTATCCAGCTGAACTAATCGGGCGATGTTTATAGTTTTGGTTGGATGCATTCATCCCATCCATCTCGTCAGGTTATCTTGGGAGGAGGTCTTTTCCTCATTCCGGGCGTTTTGGAGAGATTCAAGGAAGAGTTCAGGTCGTATTTGCCCGTGGAGATTGCCAGTGAGGTCAAATTCTTCGCTGAGCCGGACGGGAGATACGACTTGTCAGTTTGGAGAGGTCTTCATGCTCTTGGTAACGATCTACTGTATTGTGTTCGCCTCCATCAGAATCGTCTGATATCGCTCTATAGGTTGAGGTTTTAGTGGTTCCTTATTTTATAGGTTCCTCAGAAGAGAACTTGTCGCATCTCGGATTGTTCCATCGAGATGCTTGGTTAGCTGCTGTTACTAAGGCATCGAGCAACAGTGCCCCCGCTGAGGCTGGCCGAGCAGAGTCCACCCCAAGCGCCAGCTCTCGACGAGGTCGTAAGCCAAGCCAATCTGGTCGTAAGAGGAAGCGGAAGAAAAATGATTGATTCCATGGAGATTTTTCCATGTGCTGAGTTGAATATATTGAAAGGGATTGCTACGGTTGCTCAATATGCTACACTGATCCAGTGCCACTGCGCTGTCTTTCACCGGGTACTCCCGGAAGGGATTTCCTCTTTTCTTTAAGAAATTGTTAATTTTTGGAGCGCAATGACAATGTGGAGGTACTGTGCTTGTAAGTTTTGTTGCCAGTACGATTGGCAAGAGGTCCTCAGACCTTGATGCGAATGATAACTTCCATGAGACACAAAATTGGAACTTGTAGGAAATCTCAACATAAAACAGTATATCAAATGGTTGCTAGAAAAGCATCGTCGATCTCCGAGCTCTCCGGCGTCACATCTTCATCATCTCCCGAGTCCATCGGCTCCTGCTCAGTGAGGGCGTATTCTTCATCCAGATCAGGACAAGGAAATCTGAGTACGCAAAGTTTTCCCCAATTATTATTGATTCTTACTTCAGTGTTGCTGCTATACCAGCGAGATTCTGTAGTTGTTCACCACTAACGTGTTGAGTACTAAAAACGAATACACTACTCGTGGTCTGCACCTCTTCCACGAGCGCCACATATCTGTATCAAAATACAATAAAAATGACAGAGGTAACCATACCGCTTCCTGACAGCAACAGAGGACGATCGGAAAAGACCATCTGTGATCAGCAGCTCTTCTATCGCGCCCATCTCAGCCGCTTTCGTCACAGGGCCTGTCACCACACCTTAATAATCAATCTCGTAGTGGACTTACCGGGCCCATAAACGGCTCGTTCCGGATCATTCTTCAACATAGTATAAAATCGATCCAGTGCAGAGACATTCGACATTGCTTTAGTATCAGCCACCTGGCGGGCAAAAAAACCTTCGCTGTGCGCGCGGAAGATACCATATGAGTTTACCTGCGACTTCACAGTTTCATTCGACATCAGTTCGTTGAGCCCTTGTTTGTACGCTGTAGAGCAGTGACAGGAAACGAACTTATTCTTTGTTGCGTTTAACATTAATGAATCGGCTGAATGAAAATACGTTTTTTCTATCAGAAAAAGTAACTCACCTTTCTTGGTCGCTTCCTCCCGGGCATATTTCACAAAGTCATCTTTGACAAAACCGGGGCCCGCGATGACGATGCATTTCACTCTTCCAAAATCAACGTGATTTTTTATTGCTTGATAAACCTGATATCAAGCGGCTTTCAAGGGCGTGCGCTTTTTCCACATAATACATTATATGGAACACGATTGCCTCGTGAGACTCTCACGGTGAGAGCTACAGTATGTGTCAACTTGGTATGCAAAAATGTGTGTTATT